CTTACCCCATATATTCATATCCTGGCTCCAGTCTGCTTTGGGGTTCCATGATGAATATGCCAGAATAGTGTATGTTGGGGCATCACGGAGAGTGGAGTCAGCATTCCCTGGCTGCTCTGGATGTCAGAAACCTTATTTTAAAAGGTAAGTTTTCAGCTGACAATGTGTCAAATGTCTCTCTCTGTTTATATGGAAACATTCAACATATTTGTAAAGTGTATTTTTATTATGTTTGCATTTTTAAAATTCACTTGTAACTTGACGTGGCTGGAAGTCACATTTTTACTTGCCTTCTGTCTAGGCCTTTTTTGTTCTGTTGTTAATGCTTTATGTGGTGTTTTCACAAGAAAATAGTGTTTTCTTTGTCACTGTCTGTAATCAAGTTCTGTTCAGTTATTTTTATCAGTGATCTGGATGAGGGGATCGCGGGCACCCTCAGTAATTTTGCAGATGACACCAAGTTAGGTGAGGGTGTTGATGTGCTTGAAGGTAGGAGGCTTTGCACAGTGATCTGGACAGGCTGGATTGGTGGGCAGAGGCCAGTGGTATGGAGTTCAATAAGGCCAAGTGCCAGGTCCTGCACTTGGGCCACAACAACTGCAGGCAATGATACAGGTTTGGAGAAGAGTGGCTGGAAAGCTGCTTGGCAGAAAAGGACCTGGGGGTGTTGTTTGAAGGCCAGGTGAGTATGAGCCAGCAGTGTGTCCAGGTGGCCAAGAAGCCCAACATCATCCTGGCCTGGATCACCCATAGTGTGGCCAGCAAGACGAGGGAAGGGATGAAGGGATTGTACCTCTGTACTTGGCACTGCTGAGGCCACACCTCAAATACTGTGTTCAGTTCTGGGCCTTTCACTACCAGAAAGACATTGTGGTTCTGGAGCTTGTCCAGATGAGGGCGATGAAGCTGGTGAAGGTCCTAGAGAACAAGTCTTATGAGGAGCAGCTAAGGGAAGTGGGGTTGTTTAGGCTGGAAAAAAAGGAAGCTGAGGGCTTATCACTCTGCAGCTACCCGAAAGGAGGCTGTAACGAGGTGGGTGCTGGTCTTTTCTCCCAAGTGGCAAGTGATAGGACAAGACAAAATGGCCTCAGGTAGCACTAGGGGAGGTTTAGGATGGTTATTAGTAAAAACTTCTTCATTGAAAGGCTTGTAAAGTATTGGAACAAGATTCTCAGGGAAGTGGTGGACTTACTATCCCTGCGGGTATTTAAAAGATGTGTAGATGTGGTGCTTAGGTATGTGGTTTAGTGGTGGACCTTGCAGTGCTAGGTTAACAGTTGGACTGGGATCTTAAAGGTCTTCTCTAACTTAAATGATCCTAGTTCTAGAAGTCAGATCCAAGTTACAGAAGCAGTGGTACTGGGAATGTGAATCACAGACCACATAAGAACATAACTCAGTACACACCCAAGTTAGTTACTGAATATTTGTTTTTAAATAACGAGTTGGGATTGCAGGCTCTTACCCAACTTAGAATTAGGTCAAGTAAGCTGAAGGGGAACAGGGAACAGTTTATTCACAGATGTTAAAGCAGGCTCTTCAGTGATAAAGACTGGTTTTACCCCTGAAGTAGTCTTGGTTTGATGCAGTTGGATAATTTTAGTTTGCGTGTGCTAGTAAAATCCTGTGGATTTCATAAACACTAGAAGGCAGTGCACCCAGATCTCCATTTCTGCAGACCCCTTTTTGACAGGAGGACCGAACTGTGGAGCCGTAGTAGCGATTTCTCTGTGCTAACCCTGCCATTCCACTGAACCACTCCTCATGGGATTTCCTGAACAGTTGTATTGATTACTTTGGGTGGAATGGTCATGCCTACTTTGCTCTTCCTCCTGTGATATTAGATGCTGCATTCCATTTATTTGTTAACCCCATAACGCAATAGGTCATACTCAGAGGCTTTTGTCTTTCACTGTAAGGAGCTCTGCAGTCAGTGGTTGAAAGGGACATTTGAAGGTCTTCCCACCTTGAAGCACAACTACTGTCAGTAAGTCATCCGTGACCTGACTAGCCAAGTTCTGAAACCAGGAAAGAAAGAACGGAGATTGAGCAGCTTCTCTGCCAGCCTGTTTTAATGCTGTGTATTTCTGATGAAAATATACCTTCTTAAGGTCCAGCCTGAACCTCCTACACTTCTGTTTGTAGCTGTTGTTGTGCATTATGTCATTTGCTATTACTGAGAAGAGTTTACAACAGACATTTGTAAAAGCAGATTTATTTGTAGAAATTACTAGGCAGGTATGTAATGCTGAAGTAGGGAGTAAAGTCATAGCTTTATCAATTATTGATTTGCCTTTTTTTTTTTTTTTTTTTCCTCTCCTGTAAAAAATACAAGACTGTTAGGGAATGAAATTGCCTAGGAAGGGTGATGCTAGCTTCTGTGGTGATGTGTCTTAAGGTTATAGACACTTTTTCATGTGTCTTCTTTTTTACTGTTTTAATAGTTAATGACTAATAGCAGATCATTTGTATAACATTTGGGCATAGCAGAAATCTTAAACACTTTGCACAGAAGGCAATTGAACCACAATAAAAGATAAGTATTCCTCCCCCATAATTTTTGTCCCATATTTGTTCTGTGTCCTGACTATTTCTGAGGAAATAAAATGCTTGTCGTGGCTTACAGTTGTGTCTGTTCCTACCAACAGGCTTATTGTCAACTCTTAAACCCCATTAAAAAAAGTAATCAGGATACAGGAAAATAATTAATTTGCATTTTTAATAATTATATTTCTGTAATACTGGTATTAAAATTATTTGGAAGCAAATGTGGAATTTTCCAGAGATTATATCTAGAGGACACTATTTTTGCTAAAAACTAACTCCAGAATTCAGGGTGGCAGGGGACTGGGGTTTTTTTTGTTCATTTGTGTAAGCAAGGGGCAAAGTGACCTGTACTTGCCCTCCTTCAAAGTGTTAATGAAGGCCGTAAAGTCTTGAAATCTGCTCCTGACTAAGCTTTGTGCTTGTGTCTGGCAAGTCAAAGCATGATGGTTACCACTTCAGTATTTACTCAGTGGTCAGCTGGTATTTGTCTGGCTAATAAATAGTCTTTTTCTTTCTTCTTAAGCAAAGATCTTAGCTTTATTTAAAGACAAATTAGTCCCAGAAATGAGTAATTTCTTTTTGGTTTGATTCTGTAGTAATTTTTCCTATCTTTTTAGTAGTACACCTTGACACATCCCATTCTTTGCTATATCAAATGCGTGTACAGCATTTCAGTATCCTGATAGTAGTGGCATTGTGGGTTTTTTTGCCATTTTGATTTTTGTTTTGTTTCAATACTTTACTACTGTGTAGTATATAATATCTTCCTTTTAAAAGTGTCTGAAAAAAGTCTTGCAAGAAAGATAAATCTGTGCACATAATATTCTTTCATGTGCTAGCAATTAACACTGTTGACTGCTAACATTAGGAGGTGATACCAGATGCCTTAGTAGACTAGTGTAACCAAGGGCTGTTCTCCATTGCAGTGCTCAGTGGCAGGTTTTATGCTTCAGTGCATTACGTGTGCAAATGGGGCCTGGCCACAAATGAAGAAAATAAGAATACAGTTTTCTGGCTTGTCTTTGTGCATATCACTAACCTGTATGTAGTAATGTGGCATAATTCTCTACTTAAATTCTTTTTTTTTTTTTTAATTTTAATTGAGGAATGAAGAAGTAGCTATGGGTAAAGGATTACCCATAAAAAAATAGATACCTGGTCTTCAAGCAGGCATTCAGGTTGACCTTGCTCTGTGTTGGAAAGATCTGCTGAAATGTGCAGAAATGAATTGCTCCAAAGTCCACAGAAAAACCATTACTGTAGGCAGCTGAAAGGCAGCCATGTCAAGCTTTATCCAGCTTTTCTTGTCCTACATTGTTTGATATGCTTGACCACAGGAAGCTATGAAGAATATGAGCTCTATCAAAAGCTAAATACGGGGCAAGAAATAAGTAAGTTCCCGAGTCTTGCTTCTTTTTCTTGCAGATCCATAGTGTCTTTAGTGTCTTACATCATCTCTGACAAGTCAAGAGGGGAAAATCCTCATTTACGTAAAATGTACAGAATTAGCAGAGTGGCAGAAGTACCAGAGTATACCACATCTCTTTTTGTAGCTGTTACAAATATATATGCATTATCCAGTCTTTCTTTTATGTAATAAACTAGAGAATAAAGTGTGGGGAAGAAATACTTACAAGGGGTGAGAGATGTGTTCTGCAGCATTATGGCCATTGTGGTTGTGCTGTATGTGTGTGTGTACATTCTAACTGATGTTTCCCCATGTTTTTTTATTGTCAATCAGCCTTCTAGATTTATTAACACATAAATTCTTCATGGAAGATCATAGATTACATATATCAGTTTAGAAAAGAACACAATTTTTAATTATACATTTGGTTTAAAAGCTTAAGGCTTTTATGTTGGAAAATTGGTTTCTGCTGCATAGTCTGTTACTTCATAACTGACTAGCTTGCAAAACTTTTCTTTTTTAAAAAATAATTATCTAGCAATTTCAATAAAATGCAAAAATGTAATGCAAAAACTGTGTGGATTGTGTAGTAAATTCTTTTTGCAAATAATATATCATTTATGTTAAATAAAATTATGGTAAGATTTTCTGTAGGAAAAATATCTCTGTTAAAAGTGTACGTACAAGATTTGTTTCTCTTACCTGAATGGATTCCTGCCTGTGTAAGTTACACATTTTAAGTAATTTTAAACACACGGGATGTTTGTAAGATTTTGCTTCAGTTTTAAGGCTGACTTGTAAAAAGTGAACATACTTACAGTATTGCTTTTTTAACTTTGTCATCTCTCTGTAGTTTAAAAGAGGTAGAAGCATTAATGCCTAACATAGGTTGTGGGCAGGTGTAAATGTGAAATTTACTAATATCTTTTTCCAGTTATTTTCCTCATATGCTGTACTAGTGTACCAGCATTCTTGTATATCGTTACACAATGTGGTAGGATTCAGGCCTAATGCAGCGATAAATAAATGGTATTTATGTTTGCAGGGAAGATGGTACCACCGGAAGCAAGCAGTGAAGGAATTGCATGGTACGTTGATACGACTGCTTAATGAACTGTTACCATGGGAGCCAAAGCTAATGAAAGCATTTCAGAGAAACAGGTAATTAGCTGCTTTTTTTTAACAGTAGGACATGGGATGGAAAACGGAACAAAATTCACTCTTTGAAAACTAATGAATAAGTTGGCTTCTCAAATAAATGACAATACTTTGAGGAGAGGAGTGCAACACTGGCAGTACTTTAGTTGGAAAAATTCTTTTACGTATCAGACTTTTGTCTCTAGATAAAATTGAGTTTAATCTGCGAATATTTTTTTTCTCTAGAATGCTTTAGGATCCTTAAACATGCCTGTCAGTTGTATCATGATCCAGCCAGGATTTGTATTGCTGTTTATTTGGTTAGCAGGTGCTGAAAACCTTTCTCTGGAAAACTAGACCAGGGCTTCTTATAATACTTTGTCAGACTATTTAGTATCTGAAGCTACCTAAGTTGATTGTTGATGAGTTCTCCACAAAGCAATTCTTAAAACGTTGTTTTAAGATCTTTGTAACCCTCTAAATTTGAAATGCATCTAGAATGAGGTGTGTCAGAAGTATCAGTGAAACAGTGACTGATTTAAATCCAGTAAGGGCAAGTACTAGTAACAGTCAAAATGCTACCCAGATTATAAATCTTGGAGACATTGGATACTGACTTGGTTTCATCATTGTGTCTGGAAGCTTGATGTTGTTGTCTGTTGGCCGTTCAGCTGTTGCTATTACCATACATTAGTTTTGCCACGTAGATATTTAGAAAGCAAGAAATGATTAGGAGCTTGAACTCTGTCATATCATAAGTAAAGTTAGACAGACACTGAAATGTTGTGTGTAAAGGAAACAATTTCCACAGTTACATCGTGCGTAACTAATTCTGAAAAGTGTAAAAGGTATTGTGTTTAAAAAAAATCCAAAAGCATCGCACCAAAGACAGTAAACAGATAGAGCTACCAAGAATTGGTTCCTTGGTAGCTTGTTTTATGGATGTCATGCATGACTTAAAATCTTTACTTGCAAATTTAGAATGTTGTTCAGATTTTGCTTTAAATAATGGATTGAAGTACAAGATTTACTTTTTCTGTTCATTTCTGTTCAAGTCTGTTAATTTTTCTTAGCTGTTCATTTCTTTCTATCTGTAGCAGTTCAGACTCCTTTTGGAAATGTGACATATAGTAATAATAATTGAAAGCATTTCAGTCTCTAGTATATGGGGTTTTATCCTTTATGTAAATTCTGCTGTGGAATGACTTGGTGCCAAATGTTAGTTTTTGTTTGTTAAGTGTGGTTGTAGAATACAGAAGTAACACTGTTGTGTGAAGTGTGAAGTATAATAAATAAGGTGTGTCTAATGGGAATGGATTTTAGTCTCAACTGCGTAGCTTAGCTAGAGAAGAAAGCACTTAGAGTGAAGGATAATTTCTGAGATTAATTTAGCTCGCAGTTCTCTGAATATGTTTTAGTATACCAGGAACAGTTCCAGCTGAAAAACAATCTTTACAAATCATGGGAAGGAAAGGGATGAATGGAGAGAGGCTAGATCAGTGTCTTGGTCTAGTTCCTTATGCACCTGCTAGACAGCTGTGTGGCACCAATGACAGTGGTGAAGAAAGATGTCATGTGAAAGGGAAAAAACAATTGAGTAGAGGTTGCTTATGCAAACAGCAGCACCACCACAAGTCTAGGTGCAGTTGCAGCATCTATAGGGTGTCTCAGCCAGCCTCCAACATCTACTAATTGAATGACAGTGTTGGCCTTCTAGGTTGTAAAGGGTTGGGCAGAGCTCCTTTCTTCTGTGCAAGACTTCAGTATGTAATAAGAGTCTGGAGTTTTCCTTACCTCCTTTTTTGTTATCTTTTGTAGGAGCACTCATGATCAAAATCCTTTTTTTTTTCCCCATTCTGAGAATTTCTATGATCTCTTCAAAATTACGACAGAATATAATGTTGAATGGTATTTGAATAGTAGCAAGGTTTAAAAGGAAAGGTTACTTGTGCCCACTGATCACATTTGTTCACTGGTCCCATGGCAGAAGTTCCTCAAAAAAAAAAAAAAAAAAGGAAATTCCCCTCCATAAGCTTTAGTACGGTAGAGGTTACCTAGTGTCCTTCGTGTCCTTCTGTTTTCTCCCACACCTAGACTTCAAGCTCAAAATTTTACTGACAGAGCTGACTTCCCAGCTTGACCTCAGATCTGCCTTAGCACCAGGAACTTGCCTGTTGATCTGAGTGGGCTCTAGGTTGAACCCAGTTACCATAACTAGGCTTGCCCTGCTCCCTCATTAAGGGCCAGTGGGATGGCACCCTGGCTGGTGGGGCTTATGCCCTACCAGCTGTGACATCATGCCTGGTACCTCTCTCTGCATGCCTTAGGGAGCAGTTGGCCATTGCTGCACTCAGTGCAAACAGCTGTTACTGTAACACGTAAGAATACGTAAATTTTTGACATTACTCTCATTGTCATAAGTGTTAGATCCAGACTATAGCCTGGATTCTAGTCCACAAAAGGTCCTAATTTAAATTTTTTAAAGTTGGTTTTTTTTTTTCTCAATAATCCTGCTGGATACGATGTTGGTTGCCGCCATCTGAATCCTGTAGTTATTGTATTTGTACTATTAAATTATCCTCTAGCTCTCATCTAAACAATGGTTTAGAAGAAGGGACAATGGGAGTAATAGCAGTTTAGGTGTATCAAGCTAAGTGGGTGTGTTTTGGAATGTCTTTTAAATGAGTAAAGCAGCTATGTTTTTCCATAATTTTCCACAGATTCTCTAGTGGAGCGTGAGCCTATGGAAATGACCCAGGAACCTGTTCTTAATGGCCCAGAGATGGGGAAGTTTTCTTTAAGGGGAAAGTTATATTGTGGTCCCATAACTTGACCAAAAGCATGATGCATATAGGAAAAACAAGGTTTACTTGATTCTGTAATTGGAGTTGCCTTCAGAGGAAGGGTAGGCTTGTCACAGTTAAAACACAAGTCCATAGAGGTACATTTGTTCACAGTGGAAGATTGTGAGGGAGGCAACGGAAGACGGATGCTGTAAAACAGTGATGGCAGTCATGTTTGACTCAGTCTTTTTGCCTGTTGTTAAAGGACTTAATGACATAGAATTCAGTTTTGGGGCAGTACTGTCACTTTACATTCTATGGGGTTTAGAGACTTACAGACAGAACTACCCTGAATGTTTTTGAGGGGTGCAGGCAATTTATTCTACACCATCTTCTTTTTGTGTGACAGCAAATATGTATTAAAAAATTGTGTGGCTAAGAACTGTGTGGTTCTTTAGTAAAGTTAGTTTTCTTATTTTCAAGGTCTAGATTGAAGAAGGACTATGATGACTTTAAAAGGCATCCAGACCATGATAAATTTACTGGAGAATTGTGGAGTAATGATGAAAGTGAAGTTGATTCTGGCAAAGATTCTTTTGCAGTAGTATGTGGTAAATGTTCAGAGTCTGCAGAACATGTGGAAGTTGCCCGAAAGAATCACCCAGACAATGGTAAGCAGTTACTGGAATTTGATAGCTTGAACTTGATTCAGGAGCTTAATTTTTCCACGTTACCTTGTGTCCAACTTTTTGCTTTAACTACTGTGATAATATTGAAATCACTTGAGATGCATGTTTGACAGATGTAGACTAGAAGAAGGCAGACATGACCAAGATGAAAATTCTGATTAATGCAAGTTTTTGTAATTTTTGTGCTTAACTATTTCTGTGATAACAAAGTAAGCCTGCTCGAAATTTATGCTTATGGTGGGTTGACCTGATTTTGCATTTATGGTTCAGCCAAGTGTGCCAGATGCCCACTCAGCCAGTCTGTCACTCTTATTCTTTAACAGGACAGGGAGAGAAAATAAGATGGGAAAACTCATGGGTCAAGATACAGACAGGGAGATAACTTACAAATTACTGTCACAGGCAAAATGGACTCATGTGGGGAATATGAATTTGATTTATTGCCGATTAAAAATAGAGTAGGATGGTGAGAAAAAGACAAAACTGAAAACACCTTCCACACCCTGCCCCATCTACACCTTCCCAGGCTCAACTTCATTCCCAGTTCTACCTTTTTCCCTGTCAAGTGGCATGGGGGGGATGGGGATTTGGGGTTGAGGCCAATTTGTAAGACTGTTTCTGCTGCTGCTTCCTCACACTGTTGCCCTCCTCCCATATGGAGTCCCTCCCATGGGATACAGTCCTTCATGAAGTGCACCAGTGTGGGTCCTTTCCACAGGCTGGTGTCCTGCAGGGTAGGACTTGCTCCAGTGTGGGTCCCCCATAAGCCACAGTTCTTGTTAGGAGCCTGTTCCAGGCTGGGCTCTCCAGGGGCTGCAGTTTCTTTCAGGGCTTATTCACGGGCTCTGGAATGGGGTCCTCAACAGGCTTCAGTGTAGATACCTGCTCCAGTGTTGTCCTCCATGGGAGGGGGCCAGCCTGCTTCCCCGTGCTGTTCAGGGCTTGCAGAGGGGTTCATTCCGGTGCCTGAAGCACCTCTTCCCCTCCTTAACCAATCTTCGTGTGTCTACAGGGTTGTTCCTCCTACATTTTTTCTCACTCCTCTCTGTCACCCTCTTCTGCACAGCATTTTCCATGGGCATCACCAGCTTGGCTGACAGGTTCGGCCACGTCCTGCAGCCAGTCTGTTGCGGAGCCAGCTGTGTCTGGCACAGGACAGCTCCTGGACTCTCCTCACAGAGGAACCCCCGCAGCCCCGTGCTGCCGAACCCTCAGCGCACGCCCCTCTGCCCACCCAGCAGAGCTGCTGGCGTTCTGGGCCCTATTACCTGCTCGGCGTGTCTCCTGCCGGCCTTTTTTCGACGCTGGGTGCGTCGCGTGCAGCACTCCCGCCCTTGTGCTGCAGGCCCTCCACACTCGCGACTCCACCTGACGCATCCGCCCAGACCCCAGGGTCCCCGGCCGACCCACCCCGTCTTGCAGTGTGCCAGTGAATACACACACACTGCCCCCAGGCACGCAGGGTTTTGGGGAGGTACCCTTACCCCGCAGCATCTGGCTCCAAGCACCCGTGTGTGACCACCTTCTCAGCCCTTGCAGCTCCCTCTTCCTCTGCACATCCCTTTTTGGGTTTGCATAGCTCTGTCGGTTCCCTCACCCCTCCACACCCAGCACCCAGCATCTCCTGTGATATATGATAATATTAGTTGCAAAGTCCAGGTTGATCTTCTTTGAAGGGGTACCTGAAGGTTCTCGATAGCCCGTCAGTTGGTGAGGTTGTCTCCTGTCTTTGTCTCCGTGTTGCTTTGGTAATTTGTGTCTGTGTATATTTTGTTTCTGGCTTCTCCCTTTTTCCCTCAAGATAACCTTGCTGGAATAAACATTGGGACACTCTCACACACCTTCATTATTAAAGTGTTAATGACCCAGTTTGATTTTCCTCACTGTGTCCCATGTTGGTCAGGTTTGTGTCCCTGTATGTTCTTGTTTATGACTTCCTACTTTTTGCATTGAAAGAGGTCTTTGACCAGATACCTTAAAGAAGCAGCCATTCTCCTTCCACATACCTTTACACTTGAAAAGTAGCATTTTGCCTTTAGATAGACACTGTAAAATTGTTACATAGAGGTATCGCTTGCAAAAATGTAAAACAGTTTCTGTTTTGATATCCTTGCAGATGAAATGAAACTATTAGAGATGAATTTACCTGCAGGAAAAAATAGAATTCTGAAAAAAGAATCAACAGCTAAAGAAATACAGAAGATACAGCCCAAATGTGCTAAGCGACAGTCCAAGCAAAGTAGTTGTCTGGATCAAAGCACTGATGAGCTTTTGCCAAGGAAGAAGGCTAAGCTGAGCACTAATGAGACGGTGGTCCAGAGTTCAGAAAGTAGCCTGCAGCCAGATAGTTGTTTGACTGAGCTGAAACAATTGGAAGGGTCAACTCTAAAATCATTTTCCTTGACAGATCCTGCGACATCTGTATCAAACTTTCTGAAAGGGACCAAACCCATCCAAGCCTTGCTTGCCAAGAATACTGGGAACAAAGTGACCTTAACAAATCAACTATCACCTCCCCCTGGCATAAATGTATCTGCTTCTGAAAAGAGAGATTTATCAGCACTGGAATCATCGTTGATAAAACCAGCGTTGCCCTGCCAGACTGATTTAAAGACTCCTTTGCAAATGCTATACAAAATGCCAAATGGCCACTGTGTACCAATAGACCTTCACAAGAGCTCTGTGAAAATTCAAATGCAACCTGTGATTGATCCTAAAACTAGAGAAAAAGTCATGCAACAAGTTCTTATTTTACCGAAGGATTTTCTTATTCAACAGAAGGAAAGTAAAATTGCATCCAAGGACATTCAGTCTTTACAACAAAAATCATCTGAGCTGCACTGTACCTCTTTACCAGAAATATCAAATGTCAGTGTTTCTTTAACACCTGTCCTGGTAACAGGCCCTGCAAATGCTATCACTCAGTCACCTAGTACAATTTTTAACAAGAATATTACCAGCTTGTCACAAGTGACTGTTCCCGTGAGCACTACACAACCGTTGCCTGCTCTGACTTCAACAGAGGACTTGTCATCAACAATTAAGGTGAGCCGAACTGAAACTGACAAAATCAAGGCTCCAGTCTCAACTGCCACATTCCCTGTGTCTTTGACTTCACCTACTCTTTCTACAGCTGGCCGGTCTTCGGTGTCAGCAACACCAATAAGTGTGTCTACAGACCTTGCTTCTGACTGTCATAGCCTTGCGTCACAGCAGACAAATGACTCTTGTGAAACTAGGCAAGAGCTGAAGACCGTGTGTGTAAGAGAATCACAGTCTATTCTGGTCACAACACGAGGTGGAAACACAGGAATTGTTAAAGTGAGAACAAATCCGGACCAGATTTCACCTAGCAGTGTATCTTCTAGTTCAGTTTTCACCTACACACCTCAACTTCAGGCCTTTTTTGTGCCAAAACCCACAGCGTTATCATGTTCGACTCTTTCGTCTGGAGCAACAGCCAAGTCTGGTCTTCCACATATTGGACAATTGTCTTTTTCTGGATTTGCCCCTTCAGTGGCTTCTTCTGTTAACATTCCAGTGTTCCCAGCTGATTTTACCCAAGCAATGGAAAAAAATACCAAATCCACTTTAGAGCAGCCTGCTGTTGGGGGCATTTTGGGTCAAGTAACAGAGAACTCCTGCTGTGTGTCCTCTCCTTTATCCTCCATTTCGTTAGCCAGCCATTTGATGGCAGCAACACCAAACAGTCCTGTCAGTGTGGCTAGCATTGGACAAAATAACACTGTCATAACTCCAAATTCCTCTATGCAGCAACAAGTTGATACTAAAACTAAATCAAATCCTGTTGTACAATCTGAGTCTCATTCAGCAACAAACGGAGATTTCATCAGTAGTACTCCAGTCCAGAAATTTACATTAGTCACAAATCCACCTATTTTATCATCCTGTGGGGCATCAGGAGTCAGTATTATACCCTCTCCAGGATCCATCAGTAATGCTCAAAAGTTGGTTTTCATTAACACACAAATTGCCAATGGCCCACCAACCACAAATCTAGTTGCAGGGTCACTGAAACATAATGTTCCTTCTTCCCTAAGCAAAACCTTTGTTAATGCCATAGAGCAGCCACAGTTGGTTCTGATCCCATCTACAGTAGGAGCACCAATAAGAATCAACTCATCACCAACCATTGCTCAAGTAAAAGATGTGAAAATTGGACTAAATATAGGTCAAACCATTATAAATACCAAAGGCAATGCACAGCAGGCTCCACAAGTTAATATGTTGCACTCTGCCATTTCTAAGGCAGAAGGCAGTAAAAGCATGGGCTTGGCACTCTCTTTGACAAGTAGTTCCACTTTGGTTCCTGTGCCGAGTTTTGTGAGTCAAAGTGCTGTGTCAGTTAATGAATCTATATGTGTGGCAACAAAAGCTGAGAATGCCTTTGCAGTAACAACAGCAAGTGCATGCGTAGAATCTGTTTCAGTAGCATCAAGTGGGACTTCTGGGGCAAGAGCCACTGTCTTGATTGATGGAAGTGATCCCTCAAGAATAAGGCCAGTTGTGGGCAATCAACTGTGTACATCAAATATTGGAACTACTGTGGGTATATCAACTGTGAAAACAGGACATCTGGCTTCATCTGTGCTGATTTCAACAACACAACCAACAGTATCTCCTCAAAACTTAGCGTCTGCTTTGCAGTTTCCCGTTGCTAGTTTGCCTGGACCTGTAGCCACCCCCCACAATGTGTTACATACAGTTCCTCAGTTTGCAGCAGTTCCAGTTCCTCCTCCAGTACCAAAAAGCCAGTTGCCCACACTGCTTCAGTTTCAATCATCAGGAGCGCCAGCTGCTATATCAAGTAACGCAAGTGTTCACAAACCTCAGAATATGTTGCCCCCTCCGGCACCAAGTACAGGTAAAGTGATTAGTTTTCCCAGTTTTTCTTCCCTACAATGCCAGCAGGTGCCTCCCAGTACAGAGGAACAAAGTCACGCTCACACTTGCGTGTCCATCAGTCAGACGCCTGCAGCTTCACCAGCTGTAACAAGCAAGGCAGGAGGTCAGCTGAATGAGCCTTGCATTCAACAGAAAATAGTCATTAACACCTGTATGCCCTTGGCACCTGGAACTCAGATAATGATTAACGGTACTCGTTTTGTTGTTCCACCGCAAGGCCTTGGAGCTGGCAGCCATGTTGTTCTTCTCTCCTCTAATACAAACCAGACTCCTGCTCTAACTATTAACCATGGTCAGGAGGCTCAAGGTGTACCACTTGTTAATCCAAAAATCATGCTAGCACCAAGTCATTCCTTAAGCTGGCAACTATCAAAACATCCTTTGAAAAGCTCTACAAAAAATGTGAACTCTTTTGGGTCTGCAGATGCTTTACCCATCAGACATGCCACACCCCAGATCCTTGGTACTCCAGCTAGCTGTTGTGCTCCACAGTCTGCAGCAACGCTGTCTGTGTCTTCAATGATAAAATCTCCTGTTAATGTTTTAGCTGCATCTGTGGTTTCTGCCGTTCATCGCCCGAACTCTCACATACCAAGCAGCACTTCAGTGTTTCACTTAGACACCTCTATCAAAAAGCTGCTGGTCAGTCCAGAGGGAGCCATTTTGAGTGCTGTAAATGCGCCAGCATCCAAAGGTTCTTCCCTGGCTTCGTCACTGCCTCCTGTTGTTGTGTCCACAAGGAGAAATCCTACCACTGTCTTCCTTGCATCTAGATCATCTTGCCTTGATAAACCTGACAAAGCTGCATCCTGAATTTCCTGCAAATGAGCCACTTTGAAATTTTGGGGCATTCTTCTGACTCAGAAAGTTGGAACTATTGAATAATTTCTTACATGGTTTAAAACAGTCGATTTACTCAAAATCGCTTAAGATTAGAGTTCTTTCCTGTTTACTTATGGGGATTAGGAGGAAGAGAAAATTATTTTGTTTGTCAAAGAGAAGTTTTCAGAGCGTTTTTCAGTAAAAAAAGGTCAGAAATGACCTTTTTTTAAAATGTTTAATGTTTATTAAACATTTTAGTTTGGAGAAATCTAGCCTTTTGCCTGTGTTCCATCTTACAGTATGGACTGTTTGCCCGTGTGTTCATGACAGTGTGTATCTCCTTTTTATTTGACAAACTTATTTTTGATCTCCTTCTGTAAAAAAAATATTTATGCATTGCAAAAATGCATTTAATGGTATGGAATTGTACATATTCATTAATTCCTAACAATCTGTTCTAAACTATATGTACAAAGAACTATGCTGTCTTATTTATGTTTCATTTACATAATGTATAGTTTTTTAAGTATTTTAGTAACTTTGGACCAGTGTACTGTTTAGCAACAATGGAGAACAATCTGCATATAATAAATCAAGTTGCTATACTGCTTTGTGTTGGCAATAGCTTAAAAATGTGTTTATATGTTACACCGTGGCAGAATACACATATATAT